CCCCAAAACCCCAAAACCCCAAAACCCCAAAACCCCAAAACCCCATATTGCACTTTCGTAAAAGATTTAGTGCATTAAAAAATAACTCTTCATTAAATTATTATCTCATAGCTATCAGTTCAAGTTTATTTTAAAATTTCATACTAAGTGAAATAAGATTGTATTAATAAAATTATTGAAATGGGAAATTACCTAGACTAGTTTTGCTGTGCTCCAGTTAACGGGAACTATAATGACCCCTAGAACTATGATGAATACAAAAAATGTACTCAATTCACATATCCTTTAATTAATTACTTTTAGATATGGAAGCGAGGGAGAGATAGCAGCTCATGTTGAGCAAAAAGTGGACTCAATACTAGAGTGTTTAGTACTGTGATAATAGAAATCCTTTCTAAAGATCAAGCACACAGCTCTCAAGTGATTAAGGAGAAAATAATCATGGGATGCGTAGAAATCCTACAGATGTCTTAAATTTAGATTAAATTAAGAAGGTCAAGACTCCAATGCTTCAAAGAATCGACGTAAATCAGCATTAAAATAATTTTTATATTAGTTTGAGATCATGAGGCGAGCATTAATGTCAAATGACTTAGAATCTGATGATTCTGACTCCTCTCCAGTTTTAGAGGGCTCAAAGACCCAAAATAACAGATAAAAGGCCAGAAAATTCAAGAAATCAAATAGATTCAATTTGATGAGAAAAAGAGCAGAGATCAATCATTTACAACGACAGAAGGATAGATACAAGTACATGTAAGCAGACGAAGAAACTCACAGAAATGGGACAAGCATAATAGATATGACTCTAAATTGTTAATACTATGCAAGCACTGGAAAGAAAATGCCTCGATCTTAAAGCACAGATAATATCTTGGGAGAGTTACTTTTCGATATTCAAAAAGAAGAATAAGAGTAGAAAATTCTTGATTTTGAATTTAATGAGCTACAGTATGATTCAGGCAAAGAGGATAATCTATTTGAACTTGAATAATTTGGTGATGCAATAGAACTTAACCGAATCAGCCCCTAGAAGTAAAATTCTAAGTTCCATTAGAAATACAATATTAAAAAGAATAAACTCAAGAACAGTCCATTATAGGATTATGCTCACAGGCAATTATGTGTAAGAGATGATAACGACAATGAAAGCTTCTTTTCTCAGTCAATGTTGTCTAAGATTGAGGAGGAAAATGGTGCATTAGGCTTTCAATCAATTACAAATAAAAATAATAATGGAGACCTCGTAAGTGACTATGAGATTTAAAAAGAGATAGACAATTTACCTCTCTAATAAGATGGATAAAGTTTTTGCGATGATGAGATGATCAACTTGATTTTAGAAGATCAAATAAGCTCAAGATAAATAATTTGTACTTCGGCCTAAAAAACCAGAAACAATACTGACATTCAGAAAGGAACAAAAGCTCTACATCAAAAACGTCAATCATTGGGATGCGAGTTAGAATCGTCACTACCCAAATCTTAATCTGATGTCGTTTAAAATTTAAGTTCGAGGCAATAACAAGATAGAAAGCAGTAAAAATCATCTCACAAATTATAGCACCAAACTTCAGAGTTTCTCAAAGATAAGAACTTCGAAAATCAAGAGAATAATCAGCACAGATAAATATAGTAGCATAAGCTTTTCAGAGGAGCAAGTACACCCATAGAGTATGACGCAGGATACTTCATAACGAAGCAGCAAATCAAAATGGATAAAATCTTACCAAATCAAGTCACAGCATAGTGAAAAAATGATTTAAATTATAGGCCGAGAGTGGCTTGATCTCTTAAATATGAAATTCAGTAATCTAATGGTCATAAACATACTTATAATGAAGATGATGACTAAATTATGTACATAACCTATTGAAACTCATTAGGTCAAGAATTTATCTTAATGAATAAGCAACTTGATCTTTGAGACCTTTAATATATAGATTTACTATATAATTAACAGTAAATAGAGATTTAATTTTTATTCGACTTTTTTAAATAAGTTAAGTTTGATTGACACTCGGGGTTTTGGGGTTTTGGGGTTTTGGGG